AAAATTGTGAATGTTCTGTCACTGACAAAGCACTGAAGGAACTGCTTTCCTTGTCCCAAACATTTAAACGGGCAGGCTGAAATATCTGTTGAAATTTGAGCAGAAATTTAGTTGAGATCATCTATGAGATATCTCATTAGTTAATTTTTAGCAAGTATTGTCATGTTATCTTTAAAACACAGATTTGGGTAAGGATTTTTTTAAAAAAATAGAGCCATGCATTTTTAGGAAGGTAGCAAGCAGTGAAAGTATAAATTCAAATTCTAGACTGGGCTACCTCATAAATATATTTACATGTATTAAACACATACACACACATACCACACAACTTTTCTTACCACACATATAATTTATAGTCACAGTAGAATTTTGTTTCATTACAATTTGTCTATATAATCATTTCATTTTTTTTGGAAAAAATCTAAATTTTCTAGAGACATTTCTTCGGAATGTCAAATACATCCCTCATATTCCCCTGATTAAGTGCATTCAGTTTCAAGAAGTAGACTGAGAAATAATTTTTTTAACATGTTAATTTTGTTCACAGACTTTTTGGTAGAAAATTATTTGTCTGAAATGCTGAAATATGTTAAAGTGATATAATTAGAAAGTTAAACCATGATTACATCTTATACCAATTATAAGATTAGAATCATCCTTACATTTTATCCTGTGCACATAAAATATTAAGAAAATTTACTTCTAAGGATTTAAAAATCCAAATGTTAAATATGATTATATTTTGTGAATATTTCTTTTCAAAATGAGAAACATTTTTGCGAAACAATATTGTTGAAAACATTTATATACTGACAAATTGAGGTGTTTCAATGTAATTTTTTTATGAAGAAAAATATATTAATCAACCAAGACTTTCGAAAGAGCTGTTCTTAAATTATTTTAAATTGTAATATCACTGCTGTTTTGCTCAATGTAATGATTGCCTGTATGATTATAACCCACGAAGAGAATAGCACATGAGAGGTTAATTATGGGAACTATCCTATAGACTGTCAATAAAGAGTAATGAAATATATAATTTTATAACATCCACTCTAAAATCACCTTAAGCTTGTATAAGGTATGTGAAGATGATGTTAATTTCTACTACACTGCATACCAGTCTCATACTATATTTATTGCACCTATAACCTTTTCTTTTAACTCTAGGACTTGTTTATCCTTCCAAAAGAACTTGCAAATATGTGCACAGTACTTATATTACTTACACAAGCATATTACCTTGTCCTTCCTTTTTAAATTTTTCCCTTTAATCATTTTTCTTTCTTTTAAATATTCAAAAATTCTGAAATAATATATATTTCAGAAATAGTTTGTGAACTTTTCATAAAAGTAAACATCTTCCAAAAAATATGTATCTTTGCAAATTAAAGAATTATACACATCATCTATCTTTATATTAAAGATGTCCTTATGTAGTAAGCACATTTTCTGGATTTTAGTTTTAACTATTTGAAATAATCTTATATGAAGTACTGTCAGACATATTTGTATTTGTTGTTTTTTACCAAATACTGATGTAGCCTCCAAATTTTGTTGGTATAACTGACATTTGTCCACATATAAATAAATAAAGGTGTGTTGTGATTTAATAGAAGACATTAGTGATTACATATTAATATTTGTAATATGTAGCATTTATCAACTTAAGACAGGAATAATTCTGCTTACAATGAATAATCTTAGAAATTAGAAAATTAAAGAAAATGTAAATGTAAGTTATTAAATTCCAAGTTTAATAAATATACTTAGTAGCCTAGCCACTGAAAGTTACCCAACTTTTATTTCTGACACAAGGACATGAAAACCTCTTAGAATTACACTTTTTTCTCTGAAAAGTTAAAAAAAAATCCATATTTATTTGCACATTTAATATTAATCTAATACGGACACAGAGAGGAGAGACCCTCTGAAAACAAGTTGAGACAAAAAGAAAAATTAATTCATTTGTATACTATCTCAGAGAGAGTAGTGTTCTATTTCCACTCTATGCATCACATCAGAACCAAAAAGCAGGTGTGGAAGCTTGAAGATGGTGGGCAACTGAACACTGATTGAGTCGGGGGGTTGGAGGAAAGGAGTGTGGAGAATTATGTGAGATAACCTATTTGCTTACTTCTTAGATATAGGAATACAGCATTTACCTAAAGGAAAATCTCCGGGACTTCCCTGGTGGCGCAGTGGTTAAAAATCCACCTGCCAATGCAGTGGACACGGGTTCAAGCCCTGGTCCGGGAAGATCCCACATGCCACGGAGCAACTAAGCCCGTGTGCCACAACTACTGAGCCTGCACTCTAGAGGCCGCGAGCCACAACTACTGAAGCCCGTGTGCCTAGAGCCTGTGCTCCGCAACAAGAGAAGCCACCACAATGAGAAGCCCGTGCGCTGCAACGAAGAGTAGCCCCCGCTCGCCGCAACCAGAGAAAGCCTGCGTGCAGCAACGAAGACCCAACGCAGACATAAATAATAAATTTATTTTTTAAGAAAGGAAAATCTGTGTTTGCATCCCCACTGAAGTGACAAAGAGCAAATTTTAATTGTATCTATGACTTCATTTTCATTGGTGAAGTCTGTTAACATACTGACTTAACATAATATTCTTATTTCTGAAGAACGGAAAGAAAGAAAAACTGGACCTTAAGTAGCATACAATTATTTGGTGTAACATGTATCAGCTAAATCAGATATATTCCTGACAGTTACAAATCAGTTTTCCCTTCAGAACTATGATCTACAGTTGCTACAATCCACCCAATCTTCTATGAAATGCTTATTGAGTGGCCCAGGCCCTGTGTTGGGAGCTAGAAATAAAGGATACATATGGCACTGTTTCTGTCTTTAAGGAACTTCCAGATCAGTTATAGAAAACAGATGTGTCAATGTGTCAGTGCAGTCAAGTCTTAAAAGTGTGGGTACAGAAATATATAAAGGGTACAAAGGAGACAGAAAGCTTAACTGGAAGAAAAAGGGATATGAAAATCTTTGAGAGATGATCGTGTTTCATTTTTGTACTATCAGTAGCCCATTCTTTACTGTCAGACATTCCCAGTGAGGTTGCTCTGTGTTGGAGAGTTCCTGTTCAAACCTAAGTCCATTTTAGTAGTGATGATCTGCTTAAATAATGATATTATTTTTAAAGAAAAGAATTTTACTTATTCCTAGACTTATAATTGTTATATCAAAGAAACATGAAGTAAGATTAACAGTATAATTATACTAATTTTACTAGCATCAACTTTTCAGAAAAAAAAGTAATGAAGTGGCTGTTTCTCTATGTGCAACCACAAAAGAACCTCTATGGGAATCCCATGGAAAGAGTTAAAAATACCAAATAGGTAGGCTTTAATATTGATACGTTTCTGATTAAAAATAAGCATTAAGAAAAAAAAAAAGCATTAAGAAAAACACATTTATTCCTTTGCCAAATAAGAACCCCAATTCATTATGGTCTTAAAAAAGAATGACAGTGTCTGTAGGCATCGTATTTCTTCATTATCATGGCAGGAAAGTTATTGAACTATTTCATAAAGCGATACTTTAAAATAAATGCAAAACAAGTTCCAGTATAATTTAAGATAGCTCAATTAATAGTATGAACTACTTTATTTAGGGCTGCCATGTTATACACTATACATGTACTGCTTTACATTTTCAAAGCAATTCCTATCAATTGTGGATACCTGCTATTTCATTCATTCAGTCAGCTGACGTTGATCTTCCTTACAAGAAGAGACTTCAGTTTTCCTTCAGGAAATAACCCTCTCTCATTCTGAGTGCCACGTACTTTAGGTAAGGCTGACCTCCTTCCAATACCTCTAGAACTGGACACATGACCTAAGAAGCCTGCATATCACACTTTCCACACTCGTAGCAGGTAC